TACCTCTGCCTGAGGCTCTTTAAAAAAAGTTTCCTAATTGCTACTCAATGTAGCAAACCAAATTTTAAAAGGCAGAAGTAGGGGAATTAAAAGAAACTAAGGAGGCAGTGAGATCAGTGGATGCTGAAATTCTTTAGGGGAGATGTCTGTAGCTAAGGAGAAGTTGCCCTATTCGTTTGAAAACAGTTTAGCACTTGGCAGCTATTCTAGATTCTGAAGGGTTAGTTTCATAGACATTTCCTTGTTACATACGTCCATTTAATTGGCACTGATATTTTTGGCTTCAAGAAAAGCACAGCTGACAGCCAGGAAAGATTAGGGATATACTACACCTGAAGCTGAAGATATTGGTGAGGGTGGCAGCAATGTGTAGATTTGGGTAGGGAAATAAAGTGGTAGGAGGATGGGGGTGGCAAAAGATAAGCAGACCACTGCTGCCTATGCTGTTAGCTTCAAACATGGCATATCCAGCAGCTTGTTTGCCCTTTCCTAAGGGGAGGTAGGGAAAGAAAGATAGGGGGAAGACTGAAGGGTGGGTGGAAGGGCAGCCTGGTTTGATATGCCATGCTCAAGGACATCAGCAGCCATCAGCAGAATTCTGCCAAGTGCCTTTTCAGGCATACTTAGCACATGAATACCCTATAGTTTTGCATTCACTGTTGCTAACTTTCCATTTTTATAAGGGAAGAATAATGGCCATCTTTCAATCATCAAGCACTCTTTACACACACATTGAAAAAGTTGCCCAACCTTCCCATCAGCAAACTACTTATATATTTTAACACTTCTCCAGTTGTGCCATCTATGCCTGCAGCCTTACGACTTTTCAACATACTCACATTTATGACTTCCGTTTCATCAATTTATTTTGAATACTAACATTTATAGCAAGTATTTCAGTTCTACCCTTTGATTTATTACTATCATTTCCATATAGATCTCTAAAGTACTCCTTCCAGCATTCTCTCAGTTCATTCTCATCCCAAATCATTTCATTGCGTCTGTTCTTAATTCCATTCATTTTTCTGGAGGCTCCTTGTTTAGCCCTTTTCACCCATTTCCAAAATAATTTAATCTCCCTATTCCTAGGCTCCCAATTCAACACAGGAGGAGGAAGAGGAGGTGTTATAGGATGTGTTGAAGTGGAATTTGAATTTTCCTCTCTCTTCCCCCACTCTAGCAATCTGTTCCCTGAAGAATGCACATTCAAAGATACATCAAAACGTCAATCAGTCAGTGAGAAATAAAGAATTCCTGGATAATGGAGGCTCCTCTCATTTCTCCTTCTTGTGATAATGGCATAATATTGATACTCATACTGGCAAGGGAATTTCAGGAGACAAAGAGGACTGCAGTAGGAAGGAGGAGCAAGGAATTCCTCTTGAACCAATGCTGCATTGTCTACCAGTTACAGCCATTACACTTGGAAAAGGACACTGGATAGAGCAGCTGGCGTAAAAGCTTAATGAAAAGATGATTGCAGGTCTGGGATTCTCTGCCTTAGTAAACTGATTAGTCTGAGGTAACCTTTGTGGTGGTTTGCAATATTTACTAACAAAACATGTTTCCAGCAAGCAGCCTAGGACCAGGGAAACCAAACCTTTTGCCATTCATCCTTCTTCTCATGAGGATACCTCAGCCAATATGATTTCAAAGCAGCAACAGAGAAAGAAGACTGACCACACAGGAATGTAAGGGCTGGAGTCTCATCAATGAGGAGTTGATCCTCCAACAATACAGTCTACTGCTTACTCTCTTACATCTGGCAAAGCAAATGGTAAAATGTTTTTGCAGGCATTTAGTTGGCTATTGGAAAGCAAAATATTTGCATCCTATCCTTTGAACTGGGTAGTGAAAGTGATTCTCAGAGTGCATTAGTAGGTGTAGCAGAGTGCATTAACAGGTGTAGCATAACCTATATTAGTAAACTGCAGACAGTGAAGGTAAAAATGGATGTCGCACAGTTGGTATGAATTTGTTCTTTCCCATCTTCTTCCAAACCTTTCAATATTTAAGAGGAATGCCTTAAATTCCTCTTACAGGTAGTCTATTATCTATTACCTATAGGTAATAGACAGGTGATCTATTACCTAACTATTACAGGTAGACCTCGAGTTATGTCCATTTGTTCAGCAACTGCTCAAAATTATGACACTGAAAAAATGGACTTACAACCAGTACTCAAAGTTCTGGCCATTGCAATGCCCCCATGGTCACGTGATAAAAATTCAGGCCTGCCATCTGCCCCCAGCTGACCTTCATTTTCTTCACCTGGGAAGAGACAGGAGTCCCAGGCAAGCAGGCCAGCAGGTGAGAGCTACAGGTGGGACTGTGGGTGCTGTGGGTGGGCACTAGGGAGTATGGGACTTGAGCCACTGCTGGGGCTTGCTGCAATGTGAGGCTTGCCACAGCACTGGGGCTTGCGGCGGGCCAACACTGCTGGGGCTTGAGGCTATTGCCGCTGAGACTTGAAGCTGGCGCTGGGGCTTGAGGCAGGTCGGCCCAGGGCTTGCTGCAGTGCAGTGATTAAGGTGGCACTTTGGGCCTGAAGTAGAGTCCCGTGGGCAGCGGCGGCAAGCTAAGAGTGCTGAAGGGCACCACTTCTGAGTAGTGACACCTCAAGCCCTGTGCTATGGCAAGCCCCACACTCCCTGGCACACTCGTGGCACCTGCCCCCCCCCATAGCTGTCACCTGCCAACCTGTTTGCCTGGGACTCCTGTCTCTTCCTATGTCACAGTCATGTGAGATCCTCACTTAACAACCTGCGTGGCCCTGGGGTTACGACAGCAACCGGGACTGCTGGAATTTCAATTGCTAAGTGATGTGGTCACGTGACATCATGTTTTACGACTGCATCGTTTAGCGATGGAAATCCCGTCGTAACCTGAGGACTACCTGTACTCCTAAATCATCTATCATATTCTGTCCATTAATCTGTTCTTCTACGTAGGATGTATTAACAGACTTATTGCAAGAGTATCTTATTTTTAAAGTAAAATTAAATAGCAAAAATTAAATAGCAAAAGATGTAGAAGTTTAACCAGAGGCAATGGAGTGGGAATAAACATGTCTTTCCCGGAAACTGAAGCTTCCCTTTGAAACATGGACTGTCTTCAGCAACAGCCCTTCTAATAGAGCCACGCTATAGGATCCAACATCACTCACCCCTGGCCAGATTGGTGGTGCTTTTCGGAATGCAACATCTGAGGGCCCACCAATGATAGATTAAAATAGAAATATTACAAGTAATTTTTGTATCAATATATGAATGGCTTCAGTGTCACCACTCTGAAGCTAATGAATTAGTTCTTGTACAGCACTTGTGATGATTTGAGTTTGAGATTCCTGCCTTAAGTTTGTCCCATTTGTGAGCAGTGGACAAGATGACAGCAACAAATGGGAATATGTCAGAAAAAAGATGCTGCCAGGGCATGGGTATGCTGTGGGGAAAAGCCCTCTGCTTGGTCAAGCAGAAATTAATCTTCAGGATGGCTCTGTGCAAATTATTAACCAGCATATGTATGAATGGAGAGTGTGATTGTTTCTGCTGATTCAGCTACTCTTTCTTAACACATCTTGGACATTCCTGATCTTAAGGTGCATCCAGAAAGACTACTAACCCCAATAATTAAAAGGGATTGTTCAACTGTTCCATCTTCCTCTCCTTTAATGGTTTTGCACATGTATGGTTAAAAAAAGTTGAGGAAATGGTATAAGAACTATTTTGTTGTTTGGACACCCCGTGAAACTTTGGAGATGAAGCAGAAGGACCTGATCTAGAACCTCTGTTCCTCATTTACTCAGCACTTATGGGAGGGAGAGTTGCCTTTGAATTTGTATTGGAGCTTTTTTTTTTTAGTGCCCTGGCTTTGTCACCTTCATTTGTATATTTTAAGAGTAAAAACATTCTTTGAATGAATAATTATCTGATTTTAAATTATAGCTATATGCAGTTGAAGTGCCACAGATCAAGGGTTTTTGGGGGGTGGGGAGTCATTCTGGAAGAAATGGTTCAGAATGGAATATGCTTTTGATATTTCTCCTTTCCAGGAATGACATACATTTTTAAGTGCTTGTTGTCAAAGCCCTATCTGATGCATTTGAAAATGTAAGTTATTTTGTTGGAAATTTTCTAGGGTAGGAAAATGGCTAAGTTCCAGGGCATTGTAGGAAGTGGCCTCTGTTTCACCTGGAAACAGCAATCCTGAGGGCAAGAGTTTAGTTATAAAAAGAAAAATGGAAATTAGCCATTTTGGAACCAAGGCTCTGCCCCAAAATAGCACAGGAAGCAGAAAAGAAACCTCTTTTTACTTCTGTACTGGTTTATTTTGGTCAGAAAACACAAAACAGAGGCAGTCAAACAAACAACAAATAAAATAAAACATGTCAAAGAACATCACCTCAGGTGACATTCAAAATATGAGTATATAATAGCCTAACGAAATATTAATTTTAAAACTATAATCCTCAAGATAACATCATAATATCATTTAAAACTAAAATGATGATCCCAACCAAAAACTAAAAATAGAATCTAGAGAGACGTTACATTATATTACTGACACTAAAACACGGGTGCAGTTGGGCAGCGTGGGGTATTTTCTTTTATTTGCCTTTTAGTACAACCAGTGACAGGATATTAAATTGAGCTGATGCTAGAACCCTTCTCAATTTGGAAGCCGTGCATGCACAAGTATCCACTACTTATGTCCTGGAATGAATTTGACATAAAATATGTAACCTTATTTATAGAATTTGGAGAACCAATATAATTTGTTCTTGTTATTAGATTTCTTAAGTAAGGGGTTGAATGTGTCTATATTTCGAAGGCTACACCTTCAGCTATACTAGGGAGTCTTTTTCCTATGAGAGGAGGTGGATGTGCAAGAAAACTCAGCTGTTTCTACGTATGCAAGGGTCTGGACCTTTGTTGATGGCAGAGAGGGATAAAAATCTCTTCAATATATACATTTACCTCTCCCTCTCCACCCCCCTCCTGTTTTTGTCTCCTTAGCCACCACTGGTCCAAGCAATTTTCAATGGTGATCCTGATGAGATACGTGTATTAATCTACAAAACTGAAGATGTTAATGCTCTGGTAAGCAACTTTATACATTTCTTTTCTAAGTCAGCTGATATTTAATCAATAGGAGGTAAATGTCTGGTGGAGGTGAGGCAAGATTCATAGCAATCTTTTTCAGAGTAATTTCCTCTGCCTCCTAGCTTTAATGTACAATTGTCATTTCTTGTTATACTCTGTTGAATGGTCATATTACAACAAATAACAGTTCTCTAATCCCCTCACCTATTTTCCTTAACTTAGTATCCGCTAGGCTCATACAGGTGCTCCTATACTGACCCACATATCCTTATGCTTGGAAATTGAACTGAGCATTTCTCCTCCCACCCCGCCAGCTGTCCCTAAGACTTTGGAATGATGATCGCACAAGTCTGTCATGATATGAATATGAAGGAAATAGAAATGTCCCATTGGGGCATAAGTGTTGTTACATTCAAATTGATTTATATTGTATACCAGGAAATATTTCTGCCTGACAGCGTTCAGGATATTCAATCTGATGCTTTAACTACTTGCTGTAGAATAACATTTTTTCCTAAAGGATTCTAGCGCGCTTGCTCTTGGCAGATTCAGCTTGCAAGGCCGCACGGGAGCTTCAGTTGCTCTTTGTGAAGTTTGAAAGGAACTAGTGTGGTGCCAAGGGATGCAAAGAGACACAGAATGGATCTTTTTTTGGGGGGGGGTTGTTTTAGGGAATGGAAATGAGCAGGTGATACAATCAAGAGGATTATAATCAACAGTTGACTAGGGAGTCCTCTATTAGTTAATTTCACAATCAGTATTTAATGACCAAGTCAACCTAGAAGGCTGTTGAAATGAAGATGCAAGGCCCCATCCCTAACCTTTAGGGAAACTCAGAAACAGACAAAATTAAGATGGCCTCCAGGGTTCTCTTCTTTCATTCTTTATGGAAGTGTTTCTTTTTTCTTTTTTGCTGCTTAGTATGTTGTTTTTGTAATCCTATTAACTGCAATAACAGTATTATGGTGAGGTGGTTAGACATCAGTTAGACAGTTAATACTGACATTTCAAAGATAGTAGCTGCTGCTTGGGGCAAGATGGTATCCTTGTTTCTGGGACTCCAAAATTTTCAAGGCATTTCCTCTTAAGACTACTAAGATGTGTAAAACTGCATTTATTTTCTGTGAGAGACAACTTATACTGTAAGGAAGAATTTCCATAGAGTAGGCAAGTTAGTCCATTTCAGCAAAAATACAAAGGCTTTGTGACACATTAAAAGGATTGTATCTTTAAAGACATTTGTGAGGCACTTTGACTATATACAAGATAAACACAGCTTCTATTCACAGTCTTTATTCAAACTAGATTGATAAACTGCCATAAAGTCAGTGTTGACTCTTAGTGACCACATAGATATTCTCCAGGAGGATTTATGTTCAACCTGGTCCTTCAGGTCTTCCAACAGCACACCCATCACCACTTCTCTTTCCTTCCACTAGTTTCTTTTCACATTCATCCTTAACAACTTTAAGTCCATTTCACAGTTCCTCTGGCTCCCTATCAATGAGATTCAGGACTTCAAAGTGATTCCTGATGTTCTCCTTGAAAATGATGGTGGTATGCTCAAGATTACAGCATGGAAGGTGGTTGGCTTTCTTCTTCTGCTTTAGTTTAACTTGGAATTTGCACATGAGCAATTTGTGATCTGTTCCACAACCAGCCCCTGGCCAAGTGCTTGCTATTAAAACTGAGCTCTTCTACCTCCTTGTGCCAATAATATAATCAGTCTGATTTCTGTATACTCTATCTGGTGATGTCCATGTATAGAGACATCCTGTATGGCAACATCAACAATTAGATGTCCTGAAGTCTTTAATATAGCTGTGTCATAATCACCATTAGTACTCCGAAAGACCCTCAGCTCTTCCTCAGTAGCATGTTGAGTGCCATCTGTCTTGAGGGGGCCATCATCTGGCACTATATCGCCAATCATTTTGTATTTTTCATCCATGTGGCTTTCTTGGTAAAACATGGGAACAGTTTACCATTGCCTTCTCCACTGCAATATGAAAAAGTGATATTCTCCCTGTAGCATCTTTCTGTATAGCTACTAACCAATATAGGCATCTGTTTGCTTTAGCTAGGCAATTGGGATGACCGTCACACCTTGAATGATCCTGCTGGGATTATATATTCTTGCCATGCACCCCTGCCCACACAGCAGGCCCTGGGGGGAGATATTCAAACTGGAAGCGATAGAGTTGCCTTTCTTGAAAAGATGTAATTTGTGGCTCTCTTTTAAGTTTTTGTGTTCAAGGAAGGGCAAATAGGAAAGGTAATTGCTTGTCATTTGGATAAGCTTTCATTTGAACATCTAAGTGGTTCTCCAGCCCTGATCTGGAATAAAGTAAATGAGCCCTGAGGAGTTCATGCATGTTTTCTCTCTCTCTTTAGATATTTGTAAAGCAGGGTGGAGAGAGAGAAAGTGAGTGAGTGAGAGATTCAGGGTTTGGTTTGGCAATAAATGTTTAATGGCAACAGAATTCTTATTAGATAGGTCTTCTGCAGGTCATGAAAATAAAACATTAACTGAACACTACAGAATTTTGCTACAGAGCATATAATAAAACAGAATTTAAAAACATGGATAGACTAATAGATAAAACTGCCATCTTACATTAATAATATCCTTTATTCTTTGTATGAAAACATACTTTTCAAACTTAAAATAATAGGACATTTGTAGATAAGCTAAATAATCTCTCAGAGTGAGAGTATATCTTATGTGCTTCCTGTGACCTCTCTTCTCCTCCTATGGGGTCAGGTCGAGAAATAGTTTATTTTAAATTGCTGAATACCCAGCCTTATTAGTATGAACTAGGAGTAGGGGCATAGAACAAACTCTACCAGCTACTTAACAAGCCAGTGATTCTGATTTATTTTACAACCTAAGTTTATTTTAAACCACAGAATAGTTCACAATAAGGAAAGAAGTGTGTCACGGTTGCATACTGTCACCATATGTATTTCACTTACGTGCAGAATATGTCTTGAGAAAAGATGGACTAGAAGAAATAGAATTTGAATTAACATTTCTGGGAGAAATTTTAACAGCCTTGGATATTCAATTGATACCACTTTAATGGCAAGAAGTGAGGAAGATTTAAGAAGTCATTTATTAAAGGTAAAAGAAGAGAGTACAAAAGCTGGTCTGCTGCCTCGTATTAAAAAAGACCCTAAGGTTATGTCAAACAGTGCCAATCCAATGGAAACAAGAGGAGGAGAAGCTGAAGCAATGAAAAAGTGGGCTCAAAATTTCACAAGGATGATAACTAAAGCTATGAAATGAAGAGACATCTACTACTTGAGTGAAGGAATATGACAAAACTAGGCAAAATATTAAATGGTAGAGACATCACACTAACAATAAAATATATATTGTTAATGCCATATTTTTCCTGGTTGCAGCACATGGCTATAAAAGCTGGACCATCAGAAAGATTGAATGAAGAAAAAGTCTTGTCTTTGAACTGTAGTGCTGAAGAAAATACTTCAGAATACCTTGGACCACAAAACAAACAAATAATTCAATATTAGGTGAAGTGAAATTGGGTTGTTCACTGGAAGTGCTAATAACGAAATGAAAGCCTAAAAAATACGATACTTATCATGAAAACAAGAGTCATTGGAGAAGATGCAGATGCTTGGAAAATTGAAAGCAATCGGAGGAGTCTGACAGAAGACAAGGTGCTTAGATACGGTCACTGATGACCCAAGCAGGAGTTTTCAAGAAATCAAGCAGTTACTGACAGGCAATCCTGTCGAAAGTCCACCAGGTCTTGAAGAATCTGAACTGACTGAATGACTGAACAACAGCAACCATATGCAAGTCAGAAGTTAGGAAAAATGGAACTGATATGTGTTGGCTTTACAAAATATGCTGAACTATGGTTCATTTTAAGCAGGGGTTGGTGAATAAGCTGCAGCAACCTTGTTCAGATATCAGAATACCTGAAAACCAGACAAAGCACATTAAGGCTTATTGTAATGGGTGAATCCATTCCCCCTTCCAGATGTGTAGGTAGAGAAGGGAGGCGAGAATGTTCTAGAGGCTAAGGCTTGCTTAGGGGTTGTAGAAGCTCATGGACCTAACTTTTAATATTATGTACAAAATTAGGTCATTATTAAAAAGTGTGAATAGAGGACTACGTAGTATTTTTTTCGACTTCCATTTGGCTGTTCCTGGCCATTATGTGTGATTTACTTTAGGGCAGTTTTCTCAACCTTGGCAGACTGAAGATGCACGGACTTCAAATCCCAGAATTCCCCAGCCAGCATGCCAAGTTGCCAAGGTTGAGAAAGACTGCTTTAGGGGTTTCTAATTGTCAGTGCAGCTTTGCCATTTCAAATCATGTGAAAAAAAATGTTATTCTTTTGGTTGATGAAGGACTGGTGTTGGGTTGTAATCCTCAGGACTATTCAGGTGTGATTTTGGGCTTCCTACAGTGATAATAGTCTGCTGCATAATGCCATAAAGAGAATAGATACAAGCATTTGTTTCCTTTCCTAATGTGATATGTTTAGAAATATGATTATATGTGGGCATAATAGGGAGTGTTTTGTTATGGACTTACTTGGTTTAGATTGTTCTTGCAATTCAAATATATTGATTGCTCTATTTTTCTTTCAAGGAATTGGCTTTATGTATGACTGGTAGATTTTTATCTCTATGCGACTGGTTGTAAACACGGCGTTCATGCATGTGGTTTCATAGGCCAATTGTCCATGAGGAATAAGGGGACTTAGAATTCCTCTTACTGAATTTGTATAGCACAAGTGTCTGTGCCCAATCTAAAGATAGGGATAGTTTAGAGACCTGGCTGTTCCCCATGATATCTAAATTTCTCTGACAGTCAATATTTCATGGCTATAATTAACATTAGTTTTTGGGGTTTTTTTATATTGACAGGCCCATTTTTCTTATTTATTCTTTGCAGTCTGAAATCTACTGTAGTTTATGAGGATTTATTCAACTATCTTGAGCCTGAGGGCATATGAAGCTGCCATGAATTGGCATTTAGTATAAGGGTTTATAAGATTTTTTCCCCATATTTTAAGATGGATGGACCAATTCTGAGATTGAGCCATTTTGTGTGCTGGATTTAGAGCAGGTAAATTTCATGTGTTGGAGCTGTGATCCAGCCCCTAAAATTATTTTGGATGTACTCTTGTGCACATATGCAGATGTACTTCCCTAATTGGTATATGCCAGTGATAGACTTATTTGCTCCAGCTCGAACTATCACAAAAATATAGTCAGTAAATTTTGTTTTTCCTGCCTTTGCAGTCCATGCAGTTCTCTTGGCAACACTGGAAAACTGATTATTTTCACATGTATTACAGTATTAATTGAAAATCCATGTAAACAATACCTTTTCGCAATTTAGTGCTCTCCAGTTCTTTGGATTCTAGTTCCCATAATCCCATATTGACCAATATTGTAGTCCAACTCATTTGGAATTCATTAGATTGAGGAAGACATGTTTAAGTGATTGAATAATACCCGTATGCAGTTGTCCTTCATTCATTATTATTATGATTTTCTCAGCAAAAGTTATCTTCCTCATCCATCAGTCTGCTTTTTTTAGCATGTTAACTTGCAGAACAATGCAAAATATAAATTTGCTGAAGAATGAAGCAAAACAACAAATTAATCTCGCTTCTGTATTCAACAGATATATCCTTGGCATTGTTTGATCTATCTATTGTTTCAGGCCATCCTTTTTCAGTTTGTTTAAGAACTGTACTTGAAACATACCATGCTTATCTTAATCAGGTGTGCTGTCCTTCCTCTGCAGTCTAGTTTCTTTGATTAAATTATTTATGTAAACTTGAGTTTTTCAAAATATTTATAAAGAACATATGAGCCCTGCCATTGTTTTTCTGTCATTTGGTATAGAACATGATAACTTGGTCTCCAGTTGACACTCACTCTTGGATACCTAGCCTATGTTGGCTAATGCTGAAAAAAGCTAAGTAAGGTTAGGCCTAATGAATAGAATCCCACATCTGTAGGCCAGACTTGGAAGTAATGAGAAGGAAAGCAATACAAAACATTCCTATACTTTTGGCAAGAAAACATAAAGATATGTACATATCATCAAGAGACAAGCTCAAATTAAGGAAATCTTTACTTTTATTGTTTGGTGTGTGTGTTTTTTAAAATTTTGTTTGAGCTTAATGCTGTATCTAGGATGCCCACATATTCCTAAGATATGGCCTAAATGTGCTGCAACTTGAATGAAACTAAGAATATCTGACTCTGATTAATATCTGAGTGCAATTGCTGCCTTTGTAGTTTCGACTTTGAACTCTGTGACTCAAGAAAGCCCCAGATGGTAGATTTAAGGATATTATTAATTTATTTAGGTATAGAAGTTCTGCAGTGATGTCTAACATGTTTCCAGATAATTTCAGAAGGTTGGACTTAATTTTTAAAACCTTAAAAGTGGGATACTTTAATAAAGGCAGGATAAATGGGGTCTGCTCTGTATTAGGGCTAGGAGCCATTGACAAACTTTGGATTTGCTTGTTTACCAGTATCTTCTAGCCCTGCTTTCTTACTGGTAGTTTCTAACCATACAAACAAAACCAGGCACTGGAAGAGGGTGAGGTTGGAGTCTGAGGATTGTATGGTTTGATGGATTGGAGATTGTGGGCCAGATGCCTGGTTTTCTTGTTTTTCTTGTCTTTGGTTTTATTATTGCTGTGAGCCACCCAGAAGCCATTTTACAAGATGGGTGTCCATATAAAACTTTTAAATAAACGAATGAGTAGTGGCATAAACCAGGAGAAAGAGCAGCAGGCAGGGGCTCCTCTCCCCTTGCCCTGACCTTCAGAGTAGCTGTACTGATTGGACACAAAGCAGAAGGCAAGCAGATAGACAATAGCGCTGTGGAGAGAGACCTTCTTCGGGTTGGGGGCATGGAGTACACATTGCCAAACAGCTGCCAAAACCTGCAGACAGCACTCATTTAGAAACCCCAACGTAGATAAATATGGTAAAACCAAATATTGGAGTGCTAGTCACTCACTACGGATAACATATGAAACATTAGCAGTGTCAGCGCTGTAGAGATAGGCAGCTTTAGGATCAAAGATCTGAAGGGAACTGGACAGATCTCATAGCAGTATTCAGTTTGATCCAAGTGTACATAACAAGCTCATTTTATCAGGGAGCCGCCTAATTCACCATATACCTGTTATCCTCAGAGTATAGACAGGCAGGTGTTTTCTTATTTAAAAAAGATATTACAGGCAGTCCTTGGGTAAGAATGGGCTCTGTTCCTAAGTCTGTCTTTAACTCAAATTTGTATGTAAGTTGGAACTCATACTTATGAACGGGCTGCCTATTACTAAAAATGGCAGATGGCATTCTCCTTCCTCGAGCCGATGAACCGCTGAAGCCACGCAATGTTTTCATGAACCACTGAAAATAGGCTGTATATTAAAAATGTACGGCTTCAGCAGTTCATGAAAACATCACACGGCTTCAGCAGTTCATTGGCTCAAGGAAGGAGAACACCATCCACCATTTTTAGTAATAGGCAGCCCTTTCATAAGTATGAGTTGTCTGTAAGTCAGATGTTCTTAACCCGGGACTGCCTGTATTTACAAATCATTCTAAATTTTCTGAGATTAACTCAAGCTACCATCCTCAGCTACATGGCAATAGATATAATTTAAACACAGTATTGTTTTCAAATTTGGCTTCCATGCACAAGATGCTTTGGAGCATTTTGCAAAAAATAAAATAAAATACTCATAACTTCTGTCCCCTGAGAATTGCAACCAGACCTAGATATAAATAGTTCAAGTGAAAGAAAGAGCTTAAATCAAAACTATCACAGTGGAAAGAGCTGTGACAGCTATATAAACTTCCACCTTAGATCTCCATCTCAGGTTCACTAAACAAACAAGGTGCTCTATAGGTGAGCATTAGTCCCACCAAATGGCTCTTCTTTTGGCATCCAAAGAGATGCTACCTGCAAGAGAGTAAAGGTCACAAGCTAACTCCTACCTGTTCTGGGACAGTGCTGTTACATCATTTTGGAAAGATACAGAATAATAAGGAGTCTGTTTCTGAGATTTTTAATGTGCAAGAAACAACAGCAAGAAAATAAAAAAAATGGATAGTATAGGATGCATAGATACTACTCTCTTTTAAAAGTTCACAGAAGTGTTCATAAATTTAAATATCATTACATTGGCTGTTTTTTTCTTGTGTAACTTACACATGCTTTGTTTTTATGAGGAAAACTATCATTCCCCTTAAAATAAGCGCACTTTTGTGTTTAATAACTTTAAACTTTGACAAGAAATCAACCATCATTAACTAGTTAAAATCCAGATGGCAACTTGAATTCATACTCAGCCCCCAAAGAATAAACGATGTGCCTTTGATCTTCATGCTTAAAGTCTTAAGTAGATAAAATAATATCAGGAATACAATATATACCTGCAGTAATTGTGTTCTCCCACTTGCAGATTAATCTTCCCCAAAATGCCATTTTGAGACCAAAATGTAAAGTCCCAGAGGTATAAGAAAGCGTGAGAGGCCCAAGGAAGGAAATTTTGGATTTGATTTCAACTAATGAACTAAAAAGGAAGAGGGTGGGAAGTCATTGGTTTTCTAAAGTTTGGCTGCATAGGCCCAACTCTCTCATTCCTGCCTTAGTAAGCAATGCCATCTCACTTTGCATACAGTAATCCATCATTTATAAAATAATAAGGCGTTTTCTGAAGGTCTTTCTCAATCCTCAAATCAGTTCCGTAGGGGTACCAAATATCAGTACTGCAAATAGGAAAGCTGTCAGTGTATTGATTACTGTATTTGCTACTCCTGCTAAGGGAGGTAGGGGCAGCTAGAGCAAGGGAAAGCTTGGCACGGACCCTCTACCTGCCATTCGGTGTTCTGCATTGGTCTTCAAGAGTAAGCAGGACCTAACCATACTTCTTCCACAGACCTACAGCCTACAGAAAGAGCTGACTGATGTAGTGATTAAGGCGCCAGGCCAGAAACCAGGAGACTGTGAGTTCTAGTCCTGCCTTAGGCACGAAGCCAGCTGGGTGACCTTGGGCCAGTTGTTCTCTCTCAGCCCTGGGAAGAAGCAGGCAAGGGCAAACCACTTCTGAAAAACCTTGCCAAGAAAACTGCAGTCGCCAGGAGTCAACACTGACTCAAAGGCACCCCCCCCCCGCCAAAAGCAGCCTACAGACCATCCAAAGTGATGGTCTTAACCTCCTAGTTAGTATGGCACAAGATCTGTAATGGCCTTTTTTCTTTACCATCATTTTTCTTTTTTAGGACACAGAGAAGCGTACCCCACTTCATGTTGCTGCTTTCTTGGGAGATGCAGAGATTATTGAGCTCCTCATCTTGTCCGGTATGTATCCTAAGCATTTGCCAATTACGAATGCAAAATGATTGAAATGTTCATAAATGCTACAGTGTTCAATACTTCACTTGGTAATAGAAACAAAGAGGTTTAATATATGTAATACATCAGTTGCTTACTACATCAGCCTTTCCCAACCTGGTACCCTCCAGGTACATCAGGGTTCCTCAACCTCAGCAACTTTAAGATGGGTGGACTTCAACTCCCAGAATTCCCCAGCCAGCTATCTTAAAGTTGCTGAGGTTGAGGAACCCTGAGGTATATTGAATATCAACTTCCATGCTAGCTGGAATTTACTAGAGTTGAAGATGTGATGGCTACCAGGGTAGGGAAGCCTGCAATATATGTCTGTGTTTCTAACTGCCAGTGTTACTTTTTTTGTTGAAAGCATTCTAAATACTGCTTTTTCCAGTGTTCAATCTGTAGTAACTTGGCACTGTCAGATGTTAAGCTTCCCTCAAATAATGCTTTGGCTTCCAAGATGGTTTTTGTAGCTGTCATAATTATTTGTTAAGGCTAGAGTGTTAGCCACATAACTTAAAAAAATGAACAGTAATGCAACTTTTTTCATAACACAATGTAAAGGCTGTTACGAAGGACTTAGTGGAAACCTAATTTATATTTAACCACTTTGAAAAGTTGGCTGTATTCACTGCTTCTTGGAATACCTTGAAAAACTCTGAAGTTTTGAAAGCAGCTTTTTGCAACCTTATGCACTCTGGAGGTGTTGGACTACTGATTACATCACCCTTAGCTATTGTGGCTCCCTCAGTTGGAGATTATGGAGTTGTACGTCAACACATCTAGTGGGCACAAGGTTTCAATCATCTGGTCCAAGACTAGGCTTTGAGACAATTGTTTCTTCCCTTACTCTAGTAATATTTGCCAACCAAATATTTCTGATGGCACTTAATTCTCAATAAACTGCTATCCCCTTTCCAATATCACAAGTAACTGATTCTGAATCCTTTCTAGTGGTCCAGAATGTTGTACATTGGATATATCTAAAAAATAAGGAAATGTCCCACCATCAATAAAAAGAAGGCAACCATTTCTTTCCAGTATACAAGTCTGAATGCTTCTGGTTATAGCCAAAACAGGGTCACCCAGGCACAAGAAGGAAGTGGGAAATCCAAGATTTTCAACAATACAAGAATATGTCTGTTTAAGCTCTTAGATCTAAATGGGCATTATAATTCAGACAACTGCCCAAAGAGGGCTCAGTAACTGTAGAGGTCCTGAAATGAAGACTGGGGGCAAAAGCAGAAAGGCTGAGAAGGGAGACATTGAAAGGAGTACACCAAACAGCAATTTTCCTTGCTGGAGCATTTTTTTAAAGTTAGATTTTAAAGGGAATTTTGTAAAATTCAGCGTTACCAAGCTCTACAATGGCATACCTTGAAGACCACTCAGAAGCTTCAACTGGTCCAGAATGCAGTGGCATGGGCAGTGATGGACATGCCTCAGTAAGCCCATGTAACACCCCTGCTTTGTGAGTTGCACTGGTAGCCAGTTTGCTTCCAGGTGCGATTCAAGGTGCTGGTTGTTACCTATAAAGCCCTACATGGGTCTGGTTACTTGAGGGATTACCTGTCTCCCATAGTATCTGCCCAGCCGATTCAAACTGGCAGAGTTAGTGTGCCCTGGGTACCTTTGTTCAAACAATGCCATCTGTTGGGTCCCCAGAAATGCACCTTCTCTGTCGCAGCACCTGCCCTCTGGAACAAGGTTTCCCCCAAGATCTGGATGGCCCCCACTCTGCTGGTGTCTCAAAAGGCCTTGAAGATCTGGCTTTTTGACCAGGCCTTTCACAAAGCCCCTTTAGGTTCTATGGGTTTGTTTTTGCTCCTATCCAGTCTGCCGTCTTTTATTCCTTGTTCTTGTTTATTATTGTATTGTTTTATTCCTTTTAATGTTACTTATTTGTGAACCTCCTAGAGTCACTGGGAATTGGAAGGTATGCAAATTACCCACAGTGGGCAACTTCCTTGCAGTAGAGAGCTGTACAGTTTTAAAATATATATTTGACCTTGGAGGCTCCACGTGTGTTGCTGATGATGCCATCCATGGTGGCCCATTTGGGGAGCTGAGGTTAAGAGTTGAGGGTCAAGGGGTGAAATAGACCCGATTCTGCTCCTCAGAACCTTCCAAACTGGAAAAATCAGCCTTGTGGCCCATTGACTAAGGACACCCGAGAAGGCACAGGTTGCTCACTCCAGCTTTATGTAGAAGCAGCATCTTTCCACTTTCTGCTGCTCTACAGCATGGTACTGCATGGGACATCTTGGCTGGAATTTTAACATTTAGATGCCTTTATTGAATTCTTGCAGACTCAAACCTGGCAGTATTTGTACTAATGCTGATTGTAGAGATAGGTAATTTGTGCAATGTCAGGCTAATTGTAGTTCTTCCAGAGGTATTAAAAATATTTTTATTAGTTGTCAAAACTCAAGACATGTGGGGAAAAAACATTTGCCTTTTAGTGTTTTAGAATAAAACAGAGCTTCTCAGCCTGTTCAGTGCTTTATATTTCTTAAAGGTTGAATAAATAAATTAAAAGCTTTCTGTATTCTGCAATTAAAATGGTAGTATTAAAAACTTAATTACAACAACATGCTGTCAGCTTTATAAAAATGTATGGTTGTTGCTTCTTCACTAATGAGCTTAGCTGCTTAATGTCCTTCAAAGGTGGTAAAATAACAGGAGAAAACAAGGAAAATTAAGCGATGGAATAGAAAATGTATATAAGAGGGAGAGCTCCAAAATTGTGTTATTTTCATTAAAACTATTTATTTCCCATTCTGAATAACTAATATATGGCCAAGAGTTATTCTTCGTGACCAGAGAAGATCAGATACTCAAAACTGAAAACCAAAAGCTAATTCTGAATATGAGAACACACACATCTACTTAGTAATACTTTATTGATTAGCCATTAGGCAGTCTGCTATAATGTACGTATTTGCGGAGCCCCAGAGATAGAAGACATAACACATTTATTCATTTATTTGTCTAATTTATATAGCCGCCCATCTCACAAAGCCAGTGACTCTGGCCAGCATACAACAAAGTTAAAACAATAAATACCTAAAATCATTATCATTATTAATTATTGAAATATTAAAAACTATAAAAATAGAGCTAATACAAAAAAAATAATAGACAGGGAGATGTTAATATTAATGGAGCTATCATATTATTTGAATGTCAGTTGTATAAGAAAGAGAAAGATCACTATCTTGGACCGCACATTAGACGAACAGCCTATTAGGATCCTTATATTAAAACAACTTATTTCATGTATGGTCAGAACCCAAAAATTACATATAATATGGCCCTTTATTTGAACAAAACAGTACAGTTGAGAACTGCATATGTGGATCTGACTGGGGTAAATTATAGGGGTGGGACAGAAATACGATTTGCATTTTCTTTTACTTATTTCTTTTATTCTATTTTTAACATATGGTTTTATTATTGTTCTGTGTTTTATATTTTGTATTCTGATATGGCCTAATGACTAATCAATAAAGTATTACATTACTTCTGAACAGATGCAGAACTCTTCAAATGGTCACTGAATGAGTGGTCAGTAAGTGAGGACTACCTGTACAATCTCTGTACAGTGGTACCTCGGTTCACGAACTTAATTCATTCCACGACTCTGGTCGCGACCCGAATTGGTCGCGA